TATATATAGCTTAAGATTTTGGTTTACGAAACACAAACAGTGCTCAATACCATATAGATAGAGCGTAATATAGTTTTTCGTTTTACCTCAAAAAACCACAACAGTCGGTTTCATCCGTATAGGAATCATCAGGTGGTACATATATATATATATATATATATATATATATATATATATATATATATATATATATATATATATATATATATATATATACTAATTATGATCTTAAAATTTTATTAATCGCTACACAGTGTTTCACGCTTTCAAAGCGATCTTCAGGCGATACTACTCTAAATAGTTTGCTTGCGCCATTCCGAAATTGGAATGGCGCAAGCAAACTATTTAGAGTAGTATCGCCTGAAGATTGCTTTGAAAGCGTGAAACACTGTGTAGCGATTAATAAAATTTTAAGATCATAATTAGTATATTTTGCTCTATCAATTAAATTTGTTATTGAGCACTCTTTTTGTACAACGGACAACGATTTATTATTGTATATATATATATATATATATATATATATATATATATATATATATATATATATATATATATATATATATATATATATATATAAAATAAAATATAATAATATAAAATAAAATATAAAATATTTCACTCGAGACTTATCATATTACCGAGTGAACAGTAACACAACATTTGACATTTTACTTTCACTGGTACGTCGGCATTAAGAATTTCAGGCTCGATCATATGACATACGTATAGGAAGATGTTGACACTTAAAATAGTTTAACGTTTCAGTCACAATACAAGAGTTCCCACATGTCTGCCAATTAAAAGGGGAGGGGAGGAATTATCGTCTAGGCACTAAAAAAAGATGTATAACTGAGTATGTGGGAGTAAATGCTTCTTTCCACAATCATGGAAATAACATCCCTACAGATGTTTTTGAAACGTAGCCATATTGTCTTACCATACTCCTCCGCAGAGTCATTTATGAGTATGTAGTAGTAACCTAGGATTAGTAACATCATGGATGAAATAAATGGATAGGACTTTAGCTGACGTAAGCAAAAACAACCTAGTTGCAATCTGTGACGTCACGCGTATTGCAAAGTTCTCAGCATTTTTGTTGTTTCGCTATACATTCCGCTTTAAAAAAGTAAATATTGAAGCATCAACTGGTCTAATTGTTGTAAAAACATGCCTAAGCCACGACAAAGTATTCAAGGTAAATGTTTTTCGTCTTTGTTTTGTATTTTTTTACACTTGTAGCTACGAAATTGGCGTCCCCAATTTTAACGAAATTTGTGATTCATTTTTTACTGTTTAGTGCTTGAAATATTTGCTAAAATTGACTGGGAATACTTAGAGATTTCATCGTAGAATGGCGTAGTTATATTCATTTGCTCTTTGACTAAAATGTTTAGCTGTATTATTGCTAAACATGCATTTTTTTTTAGTTTGGTTTGCAACTAGGTTTCAACATCCAACCACGCCATCAGCCCATTGAAAACATTAGATCACGTCAGCTAGTTTCCTATCCATTTATTTTATTATCCATGGTAATATATAGGATAGTAGAGAATTATTATTTATTTTTCATAGTTATGTAGTAGCCTATATGCATATCTTCCGTGTAAATTTGTTTATTTAGTTCAGGACCTTTCTGAAAATCACTTTGTGAGAAAGCTTCCTGAAAATAAATACTAATTGAAAAAAAAAGAAAAAAGAATTGTAGGGATAATGTAGGGATAGTAGAGGACCTTAGTGCGTCTTGACTAACAATTACGTAATCTGCTTCCCCAAGTAATATTACGTAATTTGACTAAAAATTCGCAAGTTAGCAAAGCCATTTTATCTCTAGTCCACACAAATGCCCTGCATGATCCGCGCTAGAAATATAGTAACCCCCTTCTCCTAGCACAATGTTGGTTCAACGATTATTGGACCACAAGTCAACACTGATTAGTGAGCTCAAGCAAGCGACATTTTGTCAACACAGATGTCACCCAAAAATTGGTACCACTAATTTTGGCGGCATTTTGCATTGTAGCGCTCGTATAAGAACAAGAGTGGGTAGTAGCGAAGTAGTTGTAGTTCGCTACTGTAGCGAACTACAATTTTCAAGTAGCCAGTAGTTTTTGACTACATTTTTAAAACAGTAGCTGTAGTTATAGCGAACTACATTTTGCCTAAAAGTAGCCAAGTAGTTGACTACTTTTCAAACAGCAAATCGCTATTCGCTACTTTTAAAAACTGTTAACAACTTGATAGAATAGCATGATATTGAGATATACGGTTTGCTTAAAATCGATACTCAATAGTCAATTTGCACTCCTGAGCACTGTAGTAATTACAAAAATGTTGCTTTGTGTTTACTGTTGCTACTCGTAAGTCTATTTGTTATAGGTTACCGTACAGTCTGAGTTAGTATAGATGCTCCAAATACAGTAAAACTAAAAAATATAGCGTAGGCGTAGCGAAATAGCGAAATAGTTCGCTACATTTTTTAAGCAGTAGCTGTAGTCAGTAGCGAACTACCTTTGTTCAAAAGTAGCAGTAGTTGTAGCTGACTACATATTTTTGAAGTAGCTGTAGTTATAGCGAACTACAAAAATTTTGTAGTCAACCCACCCTTGCCGCAGTGTACTTCCTGTACGTAAGTACGCGATCGCACCCTGACTTTTAACATGTTAACGTGTTCATGCAATTCTTTTCTAATGAGTCAAACTCATAGATATCTTATATACACTAGATGGCGCATCTCTTTTAGTAAAATTCAGAAGCCAAGAATATGCCAGCGGTTACCCCCATTTGAATAGATGGCGGCCATGTTGAAGTTTCCCACTCGCTAATAAACGCTTAAAAAACAACAATAACTTTCATCATTTGAATAGTTTGAAAATGTATTTGGAATAGGTTTAACTTAATGTTTAAGTTCCCTGTTTAAGAGATAGAAAACATACGAGTTTTCTCATTCCATGGGACTGAATATCCCGAGTCTGCAATCACGGCTTCAATTTTTGAATTGCAGAATAATTAGATGCACTATCTAGTGTATACAGCTATTTCAATTAAAGACCATGTAAAGTCCGTTCTGCGCATATGTTCTGCGCAGGCCTACATTCCAATGGTCGGACTCGACCAACACCGCGGAAAAACGTCTGCGCATGCACCAAATTATGAAAATATGGCAGGGAATTTGAATATCAATTTCTAAAACAAAAACATGCTTATTAATTGGTCAAAAATTAGTAAAACAAACGAGAAAATATAGCAAATGGGTAGACTAGACATTAATTGAAAGCGTCCTGGCATTTAAAGTATGGAATAAAATATAATTCATGTAAAAAAATGTTGATTTTAACGGACACGACTTCGAAATTTTTTGCAAAATTATTCAAAACAAAAATTCAAACTCAAAAGTTAAGCCAAAACTCTCGAAAAGTTAAGCTTCTTAACCCACTCAAATTCTCTCTAGCTGTAGTTATAGCGAACTACAAAAATTTTGTAGTCAACCCACCCTTGTATAAGAAATAAAAAAACTTTAAAAATCTTATGTTTTGTCATATATGTTGAAGATTACCACAAACTGAAACAAACGGCACAGTTTTCAATCCAGTCCCCCTCGGCAATCTGACGACCGTCTTTAAGCCATAGATATCTTATATAAACTAGATAGCGCATCTCTTTTAGTAAAATTGAAGCCAAGAATATTCCAGCGGTTACCCCCATTTGTATAGATGGCGGTCATGTTGGAGTTTCCCACTCGCTAATAAACGCTTAAAAAAACAACAATAACTTTCATCATTTGAATAGTTTGAAAATGTATTTGGAATAGGTTTAACTTAATGTTTAAGTTCCCTGTTTAAGAGATAGAAAACATACGAGTTTTCTCATTCCATGGGACTGAATATCCCGAGTCTGCAATCACGGCTTCAATTTTTGAATTGCAGAATAATTAGATGCACTATCTAGTGTATACAGCTATTTCAATTAAAGACCATGTAAAGTCCGTTCTGCGCATATGTTCTGCGCAGGCCTACATTCCAATGGTCGGACTCGACCAACACCGCGGAAAAACGTCTGCGCATGCACCAAATTATGAAAATATGGCAGGGAATTTGAATATCAATTTCTAAAACAAAAACATGCTTATTAATTGGTCAAAAATTAGTAAAACAAACGAGAAAATATAGCAAATGGGTAGACTAGACATTAATTGAAAGCGTCCTGGCATTTAAAGTATGGAATAAAATATAATTCATGTAAAAAAATGTTGATTTTAACGGACACGACTTCGAAAATTTTTGCAAAATTATTCAAAACAAAAATTCAAACTCAAAAGTTAAGCCAAAACTCTCGAAAAGTTAAGCTTCTTAACCCACTCAAATTGTAGAATAAATCCTAAAGTTTAATTATTATGAACACGCAAATTTTTTATATTTGGCGACACAGTTTTTTTTAAAGAAATGTATCTCAAACGAAAATTCGGAAATTGTCATTGCTTAGTTGATAAACAAAATGTTTCAGACGATAAATTTGTCAACAATCACCTTTAGTTCATGTTCTTGTACAATACAATTTCTTGAACCTTCTGGCTGTATTTATTTCTAGTTTTTAGAATGACATGTTTATTTTTGCGCTTGAAATCTGGCTGTAAATACGCACAATGAAGTCACTCCTTTTTACCGCCATTTTGAGCCTTCGGAAACGTTCGGAACAGCTTCTCATCAAGTTCGCAATACTATTACAGGTAAGGTTGACGCATGCGCAGACGTTTTTCCGCGGTGTTGACTCGACCAATGGAATGTTATTAATATTTCGTACCTTTCGAACTTTCTTGAATTGAATCTCTAGTCTGTATTCATTTACAAGCATAACCAACCAGAAGAGTGTTAAAAATTCAGTATAATGTATATCTAATCAAATTTTACACTACTGTATAGCACCGAGTTCAAAATGTAATCAAAGTGTTTGTTTACATTGCGGACTTTACATGGTCTTTAAGCTCCCTATTGTAAAATTCGACAGTCATGATTGCAGTCGTTTTTGACATGTACGTACGCTTCGGTGACACAAGCGTCCGAACAAGCGCTTTTCAGCGAGATCGTGGGTTCGTGCTGACACTTAAGACTAGTTTCCATTTGCGGTCGTTAGTTGTCGCTGGCACGACAAGCGGTAGATGTGAAATAGTCTAATATCAATAGTCTTTTTGTGTGTTATATGCAAAACAGTCTTAATGATTGCAGAGTTTTATAAAGTTTTGTTGACACAGGGCCGTAGGAAGCTCTTTTCGATTGGGGGGGCTGAAAGCGAGGGCCGAAGGCCGAGGAAATTTTTAAATTTAGAGTCTCTAAAATGCCATTTCCTGGACTTTGGGGGAAGATTTAACAGAATTCTGATAGTCAGAAAACAGCGTTTTAGTATGTCGAAATTTACAGGAAAGTATGGGCCAGACTGTAGTATTATAAATGCGCGGCGGGAATTTTCGTCGTAAATGGCAGTTGCGCGGAAATGAAGGCAGAACATTTGAGAAAATTTCGAAAATCTGGAGTCTCTAGATGGTCTGAAATGGCATTTTCAGAGTTTTCTTTCGCAAGACCCAACACGCAAAAGACAAAATAAATCATTAGTTCATCAAAAATGTGCAGATTTTGTGGGATTTTCTTGAAAATGCGCGACAGAAATTCAGCTAAAATTTCTACGCGAGGAACGATCTGGAGTATGAGTAATATCTTCATTCTTTGCAGTTTGTCACAGATTAAATGATAAAGTTTGCATGATTTTGAAAAAAGAATGACTATTAGCAAATTATTGGGGGGGCACCCCCGGTTGCTACGGCCCTGTGACACTCTATTACATCAGCCACTTGTCGTTCCAGCGACAACTAACGACCAAATGGAAACTAGGCTTTATGTAAAGGAAAGTCGTGGGTTTTTCGATGTGCATTCCAGGTTTTCGCCGGCATGCAAGGAATGTTGACAGGGTGGGTTGGGATTTATAGCCTCTATAGCTGACCATTCCACCCCGCAGCTGTACACCGTGATCAGGCACGAGTCATATAAGGTGGCATGAGCCAGAAGCGCACTTAAAAAGCCTTCGATTCGAGCTGCGTCCTTCCCAATTCCACTTAACTCTCATGCAGCTGCGAGATAAGGATGATTAGCACAACCCCACTTACTAACTTACACGCACGGAAAAGTAAAATTGAAACCCTTCCAAAATTTATATATTTAAGAGGCAATTTTTTTCTACAAACGTCACATATTTGTGCATGATGAAAAGTGTTAAAGATCTTTTTGGCGTGTCTCTCAAAATTGCTTTGGTTTAGGGACCGGTCATTATTTATGGTGGGGGGTGGCACCGAAGAGAAATGTTTTTCGTGGCAAAAATTTTGCTGACCCAACCATTAAAAAGTCAAAAATTTGATTACCCAACCTCAAATATCATTTGATTACCCAACCTCAAGTAAAAAATAAATACCTACCCCTGGCCAAAATTAAACTTTACAAAAGATTACCATTCAGTTGTCACATATGTCCTTTACCCGATTTCTGTGACACTGAGGAGTTTGATAACTGCTTGTGAAATTTGCTGCAGTCTAATGTATCATGTTGTCTGCACATGTGCTTTCTTTGGAGACACCATTTGTCTTCTAACAAATAGTGGAAATTATCAAGACACTGACTGATTGATTCACATATTGTATTGACATATGACTATAACTTTTTATTACCCAACCCTTGAGTTGTTTTGTTTTTCATTTACCCAACCTTTTACTTACTCAAAATTTAGTTTACCCAACCCTTTTCTCTTCGGTGCCACCCCCCACCATAAATAATGACCGCTCCCTAAGCCGTATTCTCTAGTTTATACAGTTAGCTACCTTTTTGAATGCATTTGCCGATTGAGAAACATAAAATAATAGCAAAAAATTGTCAATTAAAATACGATTATCAATGACACTTTAAAAGTGACGCCATCATATTTACAGCAATATAAGCCAGCTCCTTGCTGAACTTCAGATATCATTTTCTCTTTGGCGTATCATCTAAAATCTCTTCCGATTTTGGCTTTATTTTCAGATAAAGGACTAAACATACCTTTTTAAGTTCGTTTGCCGATTGAGAAAGATATCGAAAAATAAAAATTTTGGATGTATAGTCATAACAGCAAGTGTTATATTGCTCTCATTAGTTTTGAGCACGTGTCACGTGGCCTAACATGCATACAAAATATCTCCTCTTAATAAATTCGTTAACAATTATATACACTAAATCATACGGAGCACTGAATATCATACGATTATTTGTCATTTGTCACTGAAGCGAAATTTTAGCTACCATGGTGCAAAAACTTGGAATAATTTGCCAACTGAATTGAAAAATCTCACGATCTCTGAAAGAGTTTTCAAAAATAAATTACAAGATTTCACATTCGCGAAAATAACTCATTTTTGAATAATTTTTCAAGTTGCCAGTGACTGCTATAAAACATCTTTTTCAATAAAACTGATACTTACGGAGTGTATGTTTTTGTCGTTTTTTTATGGAATATTATAAATGTAATAATGTCCAGTATATGCATGATATTTACTATAGTTTAGCGGCAAATTGTTCCTCTTCTGCTTAGCTTACATTTCTACACGGCCTTATGAAAAGCAACTATTTTCATAGGCGTCGAAAGATCGATAAGTGGAGGGGACCATATTCATATATTCGTGTTCAAAATTATTAATTTCTTTTGAAATCGATTGTTTTTTAAGGTCTGTGAACACGAATATATGAATATGGTATGGTCCCCCCCACTTATCGATCTTTCGACGCCTATGACTATTTTAATTATTTGAAACTTTATTATAAAACTCTCTATATTTTTAGTAGAAATAGGTTGATAAGCTACCGTGTATAAAGAATTTTAAATAATAATAATAATAATGGCTCTGGCCGTTTTCCTTGCGTGCACGTTCGTAGAAAAACGCATGATTGGAATGCGGCCTGTAGCCCACTGTCTGACAGAAAAAAAAACGCGCACTTGAAACTCGCACGCAATGACGTCAATTCTTGTGAATTCCACTCGAATGTTACAAAAACCAACGTCATATAACGACAGTTGCTGAGCAAGAACCGCTGTTATTAACAATCAGCAAGAACTGCAAAACTTTGAATGACAACAACGGTTACATAGAAAATAGACAGCGGTGGGCAACTCCACTGAGATCGCTTTACACCTCCCCTGAGATTTTTTGCACCTCCACTGAAAACTCACCTTGGATTAAATGTTATATAATAATGTTAAGAATTTAAGCGCTTTCATTGGTGGAGAGCCACGATCTATTGGAGGACGGACACATGGAATTACGTCACACAAAAGCTTATCCGATAGAATTCCCTTAATATTTGTCAGTATAGATCATGTACGCGTGATATTTCTAAAATTTCGACTTTTTCAATTATCATGGTTTGACTGATATCATATGTGAATAAAAAGTAAATAGGAAGAAAGGCGGAAATACAAAGTTAATCAGTAAAACGATAAATAAATTAATATACGGCGAAAACTATCATGATTTCTCTTAGTAATCAACATTAATATCATGGCAAGATAGATTATACCGAGACAGGCAGGCCTAGCAGTGCCAGACTAAACACTGACTTGGGAGGGGCGCTGCATTCCCCCAGCGCCCTCCCCGCATGGCGGCCACCTCGACATATTTTACCGTTGCCAGCTTGCAAGATACATGGACAGAGTCGCCGCCAGACTGCAGAACATGGCAATGCCGGCACCAGAATTTTTTTCCGGAAAAAAATTACCCATGCGTCAATGCACAAATGGCGTATCTGGCGGCAAAGTCTAGGCAGTAGCAACAATTTTTAATGGAAATATACAGGGTGTATAAAAAAAAAGGTAATCGAACTTCAGCGCGCTATTGTACGTGAATTACTCGGCGTATGAACAAACTTTCTTCATATTCGGAAAGATCAGGCTTTTAGCTATTGAATGACATGTTTTTCATGCCAAGTGGAGCGCCGTGGTCTAGCGCATGCCGCAGATTGACAAAGCTAAATTGAAACCTTTGAAATGCAAGTCATTGTTTTATCTACAAAAGCAGACAAATATATTTTAGGCAAGATGGCGGCTGAGCAGGCTAGATTTCGGCTTTGCAACACTGCTCATGCTTCCCAATTTTTCTTTAGCGAAATTTTGAAGTTGAACAATCTTATTTTTTAAATTCTTTTTCACAATAGAGCGTTTGCACCCATGTTCGGGCAGGCCTAAATATAACGCCAAATTTCTGACTATAGCTAACAATGATACTAAATCAACTAATACGATTACTTAAGCCAGGAAATGTATTTTGCCTTCAATACCATAATCACACGCCTTAAACTGTTTACATTGTCTGAAAAAACAGGCTGGGAATGGCCCAATATTGAAATATATGCCTTTGTGTTAGTCGTCTCATAATTACATTGTTAATATATTGTGTCAACTGTAGCAGGTTGAATAAATTAAGCATGTCTGAGCAACATTTATATATTACCTTAATTTGAACTCAAGCCATCTGTTAGCTTTTAAGCTACAATTGAAATCTCTTAATCATATACCACTAATCTAGCATCATGAATAATGACAGGACATGCATGACATGTCCGAAATCAACACTATATCTTTACATCTTTAAATCCTGGTCTTTCCTCTTGGATCAAGGCTCACACACAAAGAGAGTGGCTGAAATTCATCCCTTTCGGCCATGTAAACACACGCCGAAAAAAGTTCCAAATATCCAAAGAATAATTCATAATGACATTCTAAAATCGTAAATATAATTTTCTCTGGTTGGGGTGGGGTGGGGGCACCCAGTTGCCCCCCCTCCCCCCCCCACTGTTTACGGCCCTGATTCTAATCACATGGACCAGTGTCTACCAAGGCTCTTAAAATTCTCCCCTCACCAAGACATGCAGACATGCCAACTACTGGAGGTAAAATTTAGGGAGACTGTTCAATGAATTGAAATCTAGTTCTGGGAAAAAAATAATAAAAATTAAGTCTTCTGAAATGGCATTTCCTGCATTTTGGGAGTATGTTGTGATCCTATAAATTGCCATAACGTAACTTCATAAAAAGGTCAAGACAGACTATTATGGTGCTAAAAACAGTATAGTTACGATATTTCCTGAATATTCTAAAAAATCGGAAGAATTTCATAAAAATCGGGAGACCAGGAGATTGCAGGAATTTTCGGGAGACTCCCGGTAAAACCAGGAGAGTTGCAATGTCTGCCAAGAAGAAAGACCCTGGCTACGAGGTTGAAAGATTTAGGCCAGGGTTCGTAGTCACTAATCATCATTTTCCAGTGACTCATAACTACAATATTGGACATCAGTTGGACAACTGGTTGACACTATTTCCCCCCCTATACAAAATTTGCCTATCCTTATGATAAACTCCATGTTGAATCATCCGCACCTCCAACTCAATGTCGAGCTTGTGTCATGGTATATTACCATTTTGGCATTAATGTTTACAGCATTGAACTGGGGGAGGGGAGACAAAGTTTGTTTTGTCAATGTTCAATAATTTTGTAATATTGGCTAGACTCTCATAGGTATAGTTAGTGTTTCGGCAATTTGCAGGTCCCAGACATTCCAACTACTCGAGGTAAAATTTAGGGAGACTGTTCAGTGAATTGAAATCTTGTTCCTCTGTGAAAAAATTTAAAAATTAAGTCTTCTGAAATGGCATTTCCTGCATTTTGGGTCAAAATAGATTATTATGGTGCTAAAAACAGTATGTTTATGATTTTTTTATGATATTTTCCAAATATTCTGAAAATTCGGGAGAATTTTGATAAAAATCGGGAGACCAGGAGATTGTATGAATTTTCGGGAGACTCCTCGTAAAATTGTGAGAGTTGGAATGTCTGGGTCTGCCGGCCTGCTTCGGTATATTAATGATATTAATTAATGTTGATTAGTATTATAAATTTAATTGTCTGTATTAATTACATCTGTATAGGAGATATATTTGTTCTTTCTGTTTAACTTCTATTCATCTATCAATAAACCCCATGATGTTAGGCAACTTCCATCAACGTCTGGCAATATTTTGTCTGCATTCCTCCTAACGTTTTTCTGCACATCTATACCAGTTTGTTTCAAGTTAACTGTCATCCAGATATCATTCATGAGATCATTTTGAGGTCAAAATGCAACGAGTTGAGACATGCACTGTCTCAATTTGCATAAACTACTTCAAATTCAGACATGATTTTTGTGTGTGTTGGTGTTTTGTACTCAGGTGAATATAATGTTTGTGATGTTACTCTGAGTGTGCATCCATACCGGGCAAGCTGAAAAGTTTGCCTGACTATGGTGGGAATCATTGGTCCTGGGTTCGATTCCCACCGTGGTCAGGCAGAGTAACATCACAAACATCATACTTCAGACATGTTTAAACATTAAATATTGGTTTACATTTAGCGATAACTTCCTATTAAAATCTCAGGGTAGCCAGTTGTGATGAAGTGTTGATATGTCTGTGCTATCAGATATGCATCACAGCATCAAAAAAAGTACAAATTAGATACACCATGATTAAATTAATTAGATTAACCACCTGGATTGCTATACAAGCTCAAGCTGTAATTAACCTAGACTTTAGGATAGTGCGAATGCAATGTACAGACTTATACATCGAAGTATTAACCCATTAAGCTGCAGAGCTTCCCCATTGACAAGTAAATGATCTGGTGTTAGACAAGAAAAAAATAAGTAGGGCACACTCAGGGAGCGTTGCAATTCAGTGGGTTAACTAGAGACATTGTCAGATTTTTTGGTTAACCCATTAAGCTGCAGAGCTTCCCCATTGACGAGTAAAATCGTCTGGCGTTAGGCAAGTACATTTTTCTAGTATAAAGGTATTTTAATTAACATACTTTCTGCATAAATTACGGAACCACTGAGTATTTTTAATAAAATATAAAACAACGGTAACTCCGTTGTTTTATATATTTTCTACATAAATATTCTGCTGGAGTGCTAGCTGGTATATTCTGCAAAACGTTTTCTCCGTTTTCAAAGCGTGTATACGTCAAAGCGTTTATAAATCGTTGTCAAAATATGTATCGACATGCAGCAAGTTGAGTTCAAATATATAAAAACAAACGACATTCTTGTTTCGTACTGTAATCAGTATGAACTATGAAACACGACAAGCCGTACAAAATATAACAAGAGATACGATATAAGAATAATAAAACTATGTATATATGACCACATACTAAAGCTTTTCACAAGCAAATACATGAACATTTTAACGATAAACTTTCGCCCAACGCAGTCCTGCTACTTGAAACGGGAACTGATTTCGAAGCTTGCATTTCACACAAATCGGCGCAACATTTTACACAAAAAAGCAATAAAATAGACAACCTACCTCTGTTGCTATCTTTCGCTGTGGTATTGGATTCATTTTGAAGGTTTTTACAGCAAAAATTTGACAATTTTCGACAAAATCCTTCACCTGGTCGCACGTGGAAAATTGATGGAATTTTAAATTGGGACATTTTGCGATTTTGGGTGTGACGTTTCGGACACGTGACTATAGTGACGTCATAGTCACTAAGGGTGGGTTAATTAATTAACACATTCCACTGAAAAACAAATGTTAACCCAGTATATATAGTAGCTAAAAAGAACATAATGAAATTAGTAAAATTGCAAAATTTGGTAGCTTGCAAATTTTGTATGTTTGTACAAATGAGCAACATTAAATCCCAAAGGTGGAAAATGTGAAATCAAACGACCACTTTAAATCAGATGCATTTGGTCATTTTTTATTGCAATTATTCCATAAAGGTGCCATTTGACAGCTATTAAAATGCCAGATCTTTATAAATACTAAAAAGAAAACTATTGACATAGTTGATTAACACGTGATAACATGTTAAATACAAACTTGTGGTTAACAACTGGACTCAAGGAGAGGGCTACAAGTTTATTAGTACTTTTGCACTATTACGTACTACCCTCTTGAAATAAAGACTCTAACTAACTCTGTAGCCCAGTTGGTTAGAGCGCTGCACCGGAATCGCAAGGTCGATTCTTGCTAGAATCTCTACTGTTGCACTTTCCGCAAGTGCTCCCGTTTGGGTCTGAAAATTGCATATAAATCTACCAAAACGTCAATCGGCTAGGATGCCCAAAATCTCGATAATTGCCCACAACCAACCCTACCCTAACCCTATAATGCGCGAAACACGAGGGTATAAACCAAATTCGACTCTCTTGAACTTTGAGATGGTTCAAATCTTGATATTTTTGCTCGTTTGACAGTAATATCCAGTCAACTCTCATACAACGCCGGTTCTCGTTTGAATTCCAGCTTTTAGTTTATGCCTGCAGGGGATGATGGGAAGTAAGGTATCATAGTGCTGATTATGCTGAAAAATTTCAATAAAACTACCGAAACAACCGAAATATTTCAATATTTACAAGTATAAGCTATCACTCCGTTAATCATTAACTAAAACTAAACAGAAGAGTCTATTATATATTAAATTAATTAAAATACAATGTTTTTTCTCTTATAACAAAACAAAACTAGGCCTAACTCAACAATATTCGTGCAGTTCTTTTAACTGTCAAAACAAAGTTTTTCTTCAAACAAAAACTAACGTCCAAAGGCTAGTGGAATTATAAGCTTTCTTAAATAAATAACTCTGAATTTTTAATAAGCTGTGCACCATATAAATCGTTTTCTAATCGAGTATTTTGTTCTGAATGCAAAGTTAGTCAATATCTAAATCATCCTCATTGCCACTCAAGACATCCTCACGCAAAACAACATCGCTAACCAAAGCATCTAAAACGGCTTTTGTTAATGTAAGTTTATCAACACTGCTTGTTCGCTCGGTATTATCCAATTCCACACATTGCCCAACATCCTCATCAACATCCTCATCAACATCATTCCCATTATCAACAACTTTGACTTTGGGATTACTATCTGCATGTTGTTCCAGGGAGCCGTTAATACTTGCACCCTTTCCATAACTGTTTTCATCACCCTGGACAGATTGCTCCAATTCAGTGTCAACGCTTGGTTCAAGGTTGTCAAAATCTTCTTCCTTACAACCAGATGAATCGGTTGCTTTAGACGACTGTCCATTTACACTTCCGGTGTGAGCGTCGAGTTTAGACGATCCAGAATAACAAACCTCAGTACTTATATTATCGGCGTTTTCTTTAGATTCTTGCTTGTCAACTGGTAACTCTTGCACAGCTCTATCTCCAATGATAGCAGATGACAAAATGCTTTGAGAAGAAATACATTCATCAGATCGTTCAGCATTATCTTCGGTTCTTCTCTCCTCGCAAAGCTTGGAACACCCATCATTGTCTTCCTCATTATTTTCGCCCAGTTCATCAACTTTCCTCTCATCTTCAGTGTCTGGTGTATGCAGACTACCATTTTCCATGATTTCGGGCCCGTCATAAGGTTGCTCTGTACTGGAGTATTGAAGGATCGTATCCAACTCTTCATCAGTCTCTTCACGAGATTCGACTTGCTCTGAAATGCTTGCTCCATTAATGTCGTGTTCGTTACTATCAGATTTGTCTTTTCCGTTTTCAACTTTCTCCTCCTCAACTTGTTCTTCGGACACGAATAAAACATTCTCTCTGCTACATTCTTCATCGCCAGATCGATTTTCTTCATCGCCAGATCGATTTTCTTCATCGCCAGATCGATTTTCTTCATCAAGGACAAAAGGAGTTTCACTTTCATTATTTCTCTCTTGCTCTACAACATCGTTATTATTATCAGCGCTATCCAACACTTCCACCGCATTTTCTTGATCTTCTTTACCATCATCGTTTTCTGTGCATGGACTTCCTTCTTCAGATTTGATATCATTATGAGTAATTGACTGACCTTCAGTATCAACGCTTGTATCATCGCCCTGATCTGGACCATGCTCTGGTGCCATTTCATCTGTTGTAATGTACTCCTTTCGATCGACGTCTTCGCCTTCACATCCAACTGCGTCCCTCTGTTCCTCGGATGAAACTTCCAGAACTTCATTCTGAAGATCACAATCTACCTTCGTATCTGTTTTCGTTTGTTCCTCGGATGAAATTTCCAGAACTTCATTCCGAAGATCACAATCTACCTTCGTATCTGTTTTCGTTTGTTCCTCTGCTGAAACTTCCAAGACTTCATTCTGAAGATCACAATCTACCTTCGTATCTGTTTTCGTTTGTTCCTCGGATGAAACTTCCAGGACTTCATTCTGAAGATCACAATCTACCTTCGTATCTGTTTTCGTTTGTTCCTCTGCTGAAACTTCCAGGACTTCATTCCGAAGATCACAATCTACCTTCGTATCTGTTTTCGTTTGTTCCTCTGCTGAAACTTCCAAGACTTCATTCTGAAGATCACAATCTACCTTCGTGTCTGTTTTCGTTTGTTCCTCGGATGAAACTTCCAGGACTTCATTCTGAAGATCACAATCTACCTTCGTATCTGTTTTCGTTTGTTCCTCTGCTGAAACTTCCAGAACTTCATTCTGAAGATCACAATCTACCTTCGTATCTGTTTTCGTTTGTTCCTCTGTTGAAACTTCCAAGACTTCATTCTGAAGATCACAATCTACCTTCGTATCTGTTTTCGTTTGTTCCTCTGCTGAAACTTCCAGAACTTCATTCTGAAGATCACAATCTACCTTCGTATCTGTTTTCGTTTGTCCCTCTGCTGAAACTTCCTGAACTTCATTCCGAAGATCACAATCTACCTTCGTATCTGGTTTAGTTTGTTCCTCTGATGAAACTTCCAGGACTTCATTCTGAAGATCACAATCTACCTTCGTAACTGTTTTCGTTTGTTCCTCTGCTCGAAGTTCTCCGTTGTCCATTTCAAGTACCTGATCATGTACGGCATAATCATCTGCATCTTTTTCTTCATTTTCACGATTACATATCTTTTCATTCTGTTCATCTACCAACGACTCCTGATCCTTATCGGTTACGATACCATTATCTTCGTTCTTTTCTCTCTCAAAATGTACTGTTTCATTCTCAAGTTGACCTGTAGGCTCATCTATTTGTTCTTCATCTTCTTCAGTGCTATCGAAAATGCCGTTCTGCTTGGAATCACCAGAAGCAACTTCATCACAAAATTCTCCTTCCTCGGCATTAAGCTCGACATGTTCTAGAACGTTTTCCAACTCTTTCTCTATTTCTCTCATTTCTAGTTCTGCTGCACAAAATTCTTCTTCATCAACAACAACATCTTCATTAATTTCATCCTCTATAGAATTTGTCTCGACTTGAAATATCTTTTCAGCCTCCAAACTACAATATTTCGATGTATATGTGGTTTCGCCAAGCAAATTGTCGCTCATGACCTCAGTTGACCCGATTGCATCTTTCCCTTCTGTACAAGTTACATCCGCACCATTGCTTTTGATATTCAAAGTATCGACCTCTCTCCCTGCGAGGTGCGTTCTCAAAACTTGGTCGACTGCTGTGTCTAATATACTAGCCAAAAATTCCTCCACGCTTTCGGTGATCTCGGTCTCCATTCTGCTAGATTCAGACTATAATTGAGAGAAAAAACTGCGTTAGAACTATGTTTATGAAGGGCAATTTTATTTACAGATACACAGTGCAGTTCCAACAACTTGTCAACAGGTGTGTTCCCACTGCTCGTTGACAAGTCGTCAACGGCCTTGTCAACTGTTGACAACTTGCTACAAGGTTGTTGAGCTCAACACAGGCTTGTTACAAGTTGTTTCAACAATTTATTATCGTCCTGCAATTCAACAACTTGTCAAGAAATGACAGCATTGTTACAACTTGTTGACAACCTCACTACAAGTCTGTTGCGAACACATCTTGTTGACAAGTTGTGAGATTTTTACGTGTGTAAATCAAATGTTGACTTTATGTCATGAACAGCCATGCTAACACGGTTAACAAACAATTTCTCCAATTAGATACTTATTGTAAACCCGGACTTAAACATTTCTGGCAAATTTCAAGGAGGCATATTGGGGAGAGCTCAATGGATGACTCCAGCTATATACGAAATTTTGATCTGGACAAGAAGACGAAGTCATTACCATAGCTGGAAAGAGCATCTTAAAATGAGTAAAATTGCAAAATTTGGTTGCGAATTGTTGTAAAATGAGGAAAATATAGCCCTGTGAAGTTCACAAATTTTGTACATACTTGCATTACGCGCGGAAAAAATAACCATTTTTGAACCGAAAGTGGTTATTATTACCGCGCGTAATACAAATATATACAAAATTTGCGAACTTCACAGGGCTATATTATCTTCATTTTACAACATTTAGCAACCTTTGCCGTTTTATTCTAAGACGCTCTTTCTAGCTGTGGTGTTGTATTTCGTTCTTCTTGCCTTGATCAAAACTTAGTCTATAACTGGAATCAACTATTAATAAATGTGATCGAGAAATCCTCTCTATCTAAGAAATTAAATGACTACCAAACGAAGTACCTAACAATTTTCAAAACCCACCAAACGAAGTGGCTAACTATTACTAATTACAACAATGATAACTATTTAAACTAATTAAACTACCAACTAGTCAATAAACTAACTATCAACTAAATTACAGCTCAGAAAAACAGAAAATATTAATCCACAACAGAAACGATCCACTCCACTCAATTAACACTACCTACAACTTTCTTCGATAAAAACAAAAATATTCACACACTTACCAAAACAACGTTAATTAGTTTAGTATGTATTAGTAAAAATCCTGGACACACAGATGAATAAACCAATGTTAGTAAATAATTGATGTAAGATCATAGATAAACCAATGTTAGATGTTAGTAATAAAAATGGACAGCACGATTAGTAAAAATAACCAAAATATATATTCATTGTATAAAAATAAATTAGCTTCCACGTGTTTTAGGCTCCGTTTACATGAGAATGGGACGAAGTCAATCCGAGACGATTTCATTTTGTTCATAGCATTATTTATAATAGATAAGACGAAAAATTGCTCAGATCGGTCTGAACCGAACCGACTATCTTCAGACCGCAGAGATTTTCTCTCCCCAATTAAATGTATGATGTGGTTGACTTGAAATGGTAGAAACGAGGAAAAACTTGTTGGTTTCATGTGATTTTCCCTTGGAAAGAATGTAAATACAAATACATTTCAGACCGGCCCCGGCTGTTCTCGTGACTTAGAAACAATGCATGCTCACAAAAGCACGGTAAAAAATGAAAATGGCGGCCAAGGGGGATAAATTGAAAGATTTGTGATTTTCGCACCGACCTCACGTGAACATAGTGAAAATTTTCATCCCGATTTGACTTCGTTCCAGTCTCATGTCAACAAGACCTTACACCATTCCTTACATCGACACAATGTAACATTTTTCACAATGCATTGCGTAATCTTCACTCAATCATTAAAACAGTTTATTAAAAGATTATAATTTCAGCAATAGTTACTGCTCAAACTGCTCTGAGCAGTAATTGTTTTTCCCAAAAAACTAATTGTTAAATAGAGAGCTGAAGATTGACGTTTACGGCAGAGAACTAACGGCACACGACAAACTTCAAATCGCATTTGAAAGTAAATTCTACAAGTTTTCGATGGGCTAAGTATAGCTAATTTACGATTCAATTTTAATGGACAAATTGTGCTAACTTCGAAGAGTTCAGTTGACCTCAAAATATGATTTGAGGTTGGTGGTTAGCAGTCTGCCATAATTCTACGGTTTCTAATATCTTAATCAGACGCACTTCTATGTAATGTGCACTCGAATCATATCTTAGTATCACAATTCTATATTAAAATATATATAAATTTCACCGACACACTAAAGTAAATTATATATAATTCAAACACTCGTTAATAATTCATAAGCTTATATATTGGCAAATCATGTCAACGATATAATATGCCACGTGAAGAGGCTTTATACATGATTATAAAACTCATCTTCATTAGTATTCTTTACATAAAAGTCCATCCTAATTAGTATTCTTTATATAACTAATGAACGGCATCTATCGTAGTCGTGTTTGAAGCTATTCAAAACACTCCTAGGCGTGTTTTAAATGGTACATAAATTTAACCGATATACTGAAGTAAATTGTATATAAATCAAAACTAGATATTGTCACTCTAATTAATTGTTCACCTGATGGTTGTCATTATAAGAACCACTTGGTTGCTGCTCATCTATCTTTTCCTCTGGTTTTGATTCTAAAATTTTAAAATGGGACAAACAATAATTATAGCAGTTATGTATAGATATTTTCACCTCCTTTCTGTAGTGGATGAGGGAAGTAAATATCTGTAGATTTTATTTTGCAGAGCTGATCTTTGAATAGAAGTAGGCTGGGGGACTAGGGACCACCAAGCGAATCAAAACTAGTGGCCTGGGGACGAGAATGGATCCTGAAATTGTACGACTCGGGAAGATCCTCCCCAATAGCTTTTAAATTTTGGCTATCAATGGCTATTTTGGCCTTACTTTTACACTATTTTTGGAATTCATATTAGTCCAGCGGAAAAGTAAAAAATCATGCACTTTGTGAAGAAAGCACCCAATTCACAGGAAGTATAGACTTTAACATGGTACTGAATCTTAGACATGGATGCATCACCAAAATTGATGCTGACGGCTTAAAATTTAGGATTTCTTATATTCTCTTATTAAACTCTATTACTGTTTAAAATCGTGAAATTGCAGGTTCACATATAGCAAAAATGACTTGCATGATTAGAAAGCTTACAAAAAACTACATATAAGACTTTTAAACGGCTGATTGATTTTCCAAGCGGTTTTCCAGTTATTGCTATTTAAAAACGTGATAAATAGGCAAAAATCCCGCCAAATCCTGGACACTAGCCCTAAAACATATTTTCAGCAGCTCATAACTCCAGAGGAGTTGGAAAATCAAAGTAACTGCTTAAATGTCTTATATACAGTTTTTTGTAAGCTTTGTAATGACGCATGTCATTTTTGCTATATGTGAACCTGTAATTTCACAATTTTTAATTGTATAAGAGATTAATAAGAGAATATAAGAAATCCTAAATTTTAAGCCGTCGGCATCAATTTTGGTGATGCCTCCATATCTAAGATTCATTATCATGTTAAAGTCTACACTTCCTGTGAATTTGGTGCTTTCTTCACAAAGTGCATGATTTACTGAAATATCTGTGCATATCCGCTGGACTAATAACTTAACAAGTCGTTCTCAGCTTGACCTTGTAGCTCAGACGGTATAGAGCATCGTTCTAGAAATGCGAAGGTCGCGGGTTCAGATCCCAGCCGCGGTCAAGTAGAATTTTCTGCTTGCCCGGCTTGGTATATACACTCGTCTGGAAACAACTCGACAACCGCGGTTATATAACACTGCCACGACTCCAAGTAAGATTTATGAATTTATTAAAAAAAATATAACTTAAATTTTCGGCAGCATGCTACCGCCTTCGTCAGAAAGTAAATGGATATGGTAAATTAGTAAATTACCTTCCTTATATACAACGATATAAGTGATTAAAACAATTAAAGCAATATAAACATGCAAAGCCTAAAGAAACCTATTGTTGGGAATAATCATGGCTGGTATTCAAACCCCGCAAATTAGTGAGCAAAGTGCCTATCCAAATGTTTTCACACTTTCTTAAGTCCTCATTGTTATGTTTGCGATGTTACTCTGAGTGCATATCCACACCGGGCGAGCTTGAAAAATATGCCCGGCCACGGTGGGATTCGAACCTACGACCTTTGGAATACTAGCCCAATGCTCTTCCAACTCAGCTACGCGGTCAGGACGGTTCGAGTAAGTGATATTTCGGAACAGTATCTAGTTCCTTCAATACCAATGTGTTCTAGTAATATGATTTTTTTTTTCTGTGTTGGTGTTGTGTACTCAGGTGAATAATATGTTTGCGATGTTACTCTGAGTGCATATCCACACCGGGCGAGCTTGAAAAATATGCCCGGCCACGGTGGGAATCGAACCTACGACCTCAATTAACATAAATTTCAAGTTGAAATGCTCGCTTCCGTGCACATCTATGAAGTGATTAACTACACCACATGTTCTATACACTTATGCTTTATATGTGACTTGTAATTTGCCAAACGAGGCTTAAAATTAATAGTAGAACAAACCCCCTGTAAACCACAAGTCACACACTGAGCGAGGTACACCACACTCTCAGATGTACACGTCAAGGTCTTACGGATACTAAGGCAGCGTTTACACTGTACCGTTTTCGTAGCGTTCTCGTATTGTTCTTAATCCTCAAGGGAACGCAAGACAATAGTCTAGTTCTCTCGAACAATACGAGAACGCTACGAAAACGGTACAGTGTAAACGCTGCCTAAACAACCTGTCGGTCACGGTTGAACTAAATGAATTGCCCGGTGTAAGAAAATGTTTGCAACAATCACATCTCTTGGCTGTACACGTGATACAACCCCGACCTACAGGTTCAACCCCTCGGTAAGGATTAGACGGGGCCAACAGCTTTTTTAAATCCCCCCCCCCCCCTACTATAGGCCACTATAGGATAGAACTTTTGGGCAAAATCTCACAGGCCTGCTCATCAGCATCGATGATATCATGATGTTTGCGAATGATACTTGCTATGTCACACACTCGAGGGTTGTACTTAGTGACAAAAACACACTGCTTCCGGCCTTTAGAATTAGGTTTGCTTTTACTTTCAGCTCGAGTCATCACACCCACGTCCTCAAATACTCTATTAACATGAACACTATTGTGGCCACAATTAATAAGATATTGGGCGTATATTTTACTTTTTTTCATGAAAATCACTATCCTCAGAACATATACGCCTTAAAGGACATTGGCAATAGAAAAATAGTATGTCTCATTCAAAAGAACTCTTACAATTATATATTAAACTCTATTACCGATTTGTCATATCTTGCATGCTTAGTTCTCGAAATATTTAGACCGAAATTAATGAGCTTTCCGCCATCTTGGAAAAATTCTTGACCTCATTAACTATGGTTTTGATGACGTCAGGAGTTGGGTTAACCATATAAAACTACTCGAAAATGACCGAATAACAATTCAAAATTGTTTGAAATGTTTTTAATCATTTCTAAATTTCCGACAGCAACCAGAAACGAAGTTTTGGACGCATATTGATCGCTTACTCTCAAGATAAAAAATTAGCGTGACCCCTCTCTTGACGTAACATGCATATCCTCAATAATCCAAGATGGCGAACAGCTCACTTTTTTCAGTCGAAATATTTTGAAAACTAACCAAGATATAAACAATCTGTAATAGAGTTTAATATATAGTTTTAAGAGTTCTTTCAAATGAACTAAACTATTTTTTTAATGCCAATGTCCTTTAACCTCAACGCCACACCTTTGGCTATGGCCACGTATTTGAGATCTAGGATGCGATGACTTGGTATTTAAATACACATGGGCATCGGTGGGCTTACTATAAACAGATGTTACCAATTGCTTGTTGACTATAGTAATAAGCAAATCAAGAAAATGCAAGCTCCGCCCAACCATATCCATGGTAAATTGCAGATGTGAATCGAATGTGTTTAAGCCCCGTCAGTTTACACGAGCAAACTTCATTTGACAAATTTCATATGTCAAAGATATTTTGCTCGTGTATAGATGATAAATTTGTGACAAATTTATTGTGACAAATGCATTTGAACAAAAGCTACCATGCTAGCTTTTGATCAAATGCATTTGATCAAATAAAATTTGATCAAAGAAAATTTGCTCGTGTAAACGGGGCTTTAGAGTCTGGCAGAATGCATTAAGGCGTTCAACGGAACCACGCCAAAATACAATAGATAGCAAAATATACGCCCAATATCTTATTAATTGTGGCCACAATAGTGTTCATGTTAATAGCGCATTTGAGGACGTGGGCGTGATGAATCGAGCTGAAACACGTAAAAGCAAACCTAATTCTAATGGGAAGCAGTGTGTTTTTGTCACTAAGTACAACCCTCGAGTGTGTGACATAGCCAGTATCATTCGCAAACATGATATCATCGATGCTGATGAGCAGACCTGTGAGATTTTGCCCAAAAGTTCTATCCTATATTAGGGGGGCCAATTTAAAAGAGCTGTTGGCCCCGTCTAATCCTTACCGAAGGGTTGAACCCAAAATAAAGTAATTTGGTTGCCCAATTTACTCATGAGATAATCGAAGTCACATTCAAGGTATCTCCTGCGTCGCCTTTCCCGCGCCTTGCCTCCCTAATTTTCGCTGCCTGCGCCTCAACGCCAGCCCCATCTGCTCCGCAGGCTTATTTATGGTTTTTAAGTTCTACACGCGGGCTGCACGCCCGGAAGATATAAGGCATTCGGGTAATTGGTAAAAGCGCGCAGGGGAGCAAGGGAATTAATCGATTACCCGTATGCCTATTACTTTACGGGTATATAGCCAGCGTTTTTAATTAAAACGCCTCGGATATTCTCAGTGTTACCCTGCGCACAGCCCCCGTGCGACGTGTCAAAAATTCACTCCACTTATTCCATCAAAAACTGATTTGCATTCTAAATGTGTGGAAAATCCAACGAGAAATACAACAAGGTTTTGAACAGCAAATTTAAAGCCATCTTAACATTTGAGATAAATTTACCTAATTCTCAGCATTTTGCTTGAAAAGCTTTCTAAACGCTGGCACTGCAAGCTCTCTTTTATCTGAAACATTGCAACAAACGGCTCTTGTGTGAAACTTAACCAGCAGAGAGTACTGCTGCCTGCATGTGATTTAGGTCTCTGAAATGATGATAGGGTCTGTCAACTTTGCTTTATGTATACAAGTCTCGTTAATATTAGTTTAATTTTGATGTTCCTTCCTGTGTCAACATTCCTGAAGAACAATCTAGAACTGATAGAGCTATACATGCAGTATAAGTATATAGGCAGTGGACCAAGGGAGAACAGTTTAGAGCTGAGTATAAATAAAGTTAGTTTAGTTTAGGTTTCCTCCTGTAGTAACACTGGATCAATAAGAGACGATTCTTACTGGACCTCTAGGGAGAACAGTTTAGAACTGATAGAACTATCCAGTATAAATAAAGTTAGTTTAGTTTAGGTTTCTTCCTGTAGTAACACTGGATCAATAAGAGATGATCCTCACTGGACTTCCAGGAAGAACAGTCTAATAAATTTAATGTCGTTTAATAAGTCAATAGTGTGACATAAGGTCAATTCTCATCGCAATACTGTCTTATTTTTTACCAGAGAACCTTCAGAAAATGTACTTCTCGACAAATTGATCTGAGAAAACATTTCTCGAGAGTAAGTTTATATATATATTCGTACTTCTAGAACACTAGTTTATTATACGCTTGAAAATTTTGTGATTAATTAACTCCAGGACTTGCTGGGATTTGTCAAAATTAATTTGACAATTAAGTCTGTACTTGTATATTGGTATGCAATCTATATTCAAATCACAATACCTAGACAGGCCTCGGAATTTAGATGGGCAATCGGCAAGTACCGACCTTGATTCCTGTCTATCGTCTTTGTCAGATCGGCAAAAAAATACCGACCTGCAACAATTATACTTGTCTGATATGAATTTAGAGCAAATATGAGCCTTCTTTATATTCTCTCATTTCTTACAGTGCATATACGAAACGAAAATTTTTATTGTCGTATTTGAAATAACTATAAAAACTATAAAGTAACTTTTGCAATTTTTCGTTCCGTTAGTTCGTTTTCGAGATATTTCAGTGAATTTGACATACATTCATGATTACTACGTCACAAATATGCATATAATGAGTTATCAGATTAAGTTGTATATCCAAGCTTGCTATTATCAAACAAAATCGCTTTACAGAAGCATATAGTGTACATTTGTGTTCTTCTACAACATCAAATACTGGATTCTTTAGTAATTTCATTTCGTAATAACAAGAATATATAACATTTTCACCAAACTCATTACGCCTATTTGCGACGTAAAAATCATGACACGTTTATATCAAGCTAACTGAAATATCTCGAAAACGAAGCAACGGAGCGAAAAATTGCAAAAGAAGTTAGTCTATTGTTTTTAAAGTTATTTTAAATGAGAAAATTCATATGCACCTTAACCATGAATTCATTTCAACAGCAAATTATCCACTACCAAAATGTCAAACTGAGATGGGTGACGAAGAGTCGGCGATATTTTCATCCAACCAATCAATCAATCACTTTGAAGAAATGTCGGCAATTTAAAAGGAAAATTTGCCGACCTGTTTCCAAGTGCCGACTTAGTCGATGTCATTTCAGGTCGACGAACGTTCCAGGAGGCATTAAGCTGTCAGGCCGACCAAACTTTGTGCTGAAGCTAGTTTAAATATTGCATTGTGTTGTTGTTGTTTTCGAACTTCCCTTGGAGAAATTTGCTGAAACCAGCAGTCAATGTTTTGCAATGATGAATCATATTATATACGACGTTTGCTCAAAGTTGCGCACAGAATACAGGAGCCATCGTAAAGAGAACATCAAATTCTTGAGAACCGACTGCTTGGTAAGTTTGACTGTAAATTTCAATTTAATGTATAGCCAAGTGTGTTCAATTTTAAGGCCAGTTCAATTACCATTGGCCCTACATTCATATTACATTGTTGGGGCTATCAGAACATTATGTTGGGTATATCGTTGGCTGATGTTGGAACTGCAGGTTCGACTTTGTCCATTCAAATTTTCAGACAACATCGTCGTCCAACACCATTCGGTGTGTTTGGAAATGTTGGATTTTTTTATCAGACTTGACTTTGCAAAATAATGAACAAACCAGAACTGATAGGTTTGACTTTCTTCAAGATTTTTGTCGAGCATCATCCTGACTGGTTTCTGAATGCAACATTGGGTCTTTCGGTTGAATATTATGTTTAGTATGTTGGTTGATATTGAAAAATATTGAGTCGTAAATAATATCTCTTTTTTTTGTTTGTTATTTTTTGAAATGATTTAGATTAAGTTATTCTGATTCTGAAATGTATTTCAAAGTCTTGTTGCTCGTTTTGGCGTTGCCATTTTTGCTAAAGGTAAGTGGTTTTTTTGTGAGCAGTATGACATCTATTTTTATCTGCTATCATGCAATGAGGGACCTGTAAAAACTCAGCATATAAATTTGTAAAGTTTATTATAATTAGGGTCCATTTTTTTGACATCGTTGTTTACTACTGAAGCGGTCAATCATGTATTGCCACGCATTTTGTTGAGAAATTCGAGTTACCATGCATGCGTGAAACTCCGGGTCATTAATAATAAAAATCAGTACGCTTTCTCTGTCATGAAAAGGGATGATTTATAGGAGATTCCTATTTAAAAGGAAGGCTGAGGCCGTGCACTGAGCATATGAGAAAATAGCCTGAGTATGAGGTTGAGCTGACGATATATTAGAGACCTTACGATTTTAGGACGGCAACGGCTACCAATACAATATATCATTGAAAAGAATTGAGTAATTATAATATATGAATAATTTATACGTTGTCATCGCTCTGTTTACAACGCCAAATCACAGATTTTCACGTCTTGATACAACGCCTGCATTCCAAGCCGCAACAAGTGCAACTTCAAACTGGGTTTAGCAGAACTCTTTCCAACCATAAAACCCATGTCTTCAACTTCTAAAACTGTATTAAATTCATACGATTGATAATATACCACGAACTATCTTTACTACCATTTATTTGAAGGAGTTTGTTTTGGTCGTCGCATTGCCGTCCTAAAATCGTAACGTCTCTATTATGCTTATAGGGTTACGACGCCAAGCTCATCAATACACTTGACGAGGAAACACCGGCTGAAATTCCAGTGATTGGAGAAATCAAGGCTGAGGATGAAAGCACGAAAGTTGATACCAAACGTGCTGTCAGTAGGCGAAAGAAACAAAGTTTTGGGGATCTCAGCTTGGAATTGGCAAAGCTGCATGTAAGTTACATAATACATATTCCAATCTTTTGTACTTTTATCAACTGATTTTTATAGCAACACTAATATTTTTTTGAAATCAAACATCAATAGATGATTATCTTTAGCAATCTTTGAACATTCCCTCGTATAATTCTCATAGTTTTTATATTATATGTAAGTATATGTTGTGCGCCCTTGTTGAACCTCTAACTGAGGAAAAAAGTGGCTAGAACATGATTGAGTTATTCAGTATTTAAAAATTTGGTTGTTTAGATTCTGGAAGAAACCGTGAAGAAAAGTAAAGCCATAACCAGTTTACAAAACGAAGTCAATGAAAATTCTGAAGGTAAAAATTTCTCAAGAATATATATTATTACAATGAAGCAAGTTATTCTTTGAAATCAAACTGTGTGAATGAGTACCTGATATTGAATACGTTTTGGTTTTAATTTTGAACCTTGAGTTTCCGTATTAGTTTCATAAAATAGTATAACCTTCGTATACCTAGTATTTATTTTGCTGTCCTGGGCTTCCTATACAAAATCTATGTAGATAAATGCAGCAAAATCAAGAAAGTTGGTGAACCAATCATACATCACCATTCTGGAGCTAGTTACGGAGCATGGATGCGAGATCCTCTTGGGCTACTGGGCCCAGAGAAGATTTGGTACATAAATAGATATTATGGTAATAAAGTGTTGGAATTTGAAGACATGGATCACTTTAAAGCTGGAGAGGTCGCCAAAACCTACACCCTACCATATGGTTTTGATGGTACAGGATCCATTGTCTATGGACGGTATCTTTACTATAACAGGTCTGTATGAATCTTTGGCCTTAGAACAGGAATTTTTCACTGAGATTTTCTTCGTTCAGTCAGAATAAAATGGAATTTTTGAACGAAAACTATTTACACTGTTAGACCTGACCGGCTGTTGCGAAAAACATGACTTTCGGCGCTCCAATGCAGCACTCTGACCACTAAGGCCATGTTGCCTTCAGAGTTTAAGTTTTCGCAAACAAAGTTCTGCAGCATAGATTTTAAAGCGTTCTCTTCACTATCTTTAACCAAAACAATTTTCCTCTTGGTGACTCCATGCCATTTTAAGACAAATTCTTTGCCTGTAAATTGCTTAACATCCCCACCAGGCGAAGACCATTTCCCGTGCAGGTTTAAAGACGTTTCAACAAACTGTTTCAAATCATTCAAGTCCCCCATCCAGAAGAAATCTCCTAATTCTTGATATAGAAACTTATTCAGTTAGTTTTCATGAACATTACTGTTTTTAGGGCTTTGATAATTTGTAAAATTCGAGGAGCTCACAAAATCGTGACAGTCGTCCATGAGTTATCATATATACTATATAAACGAACATTTACTGACAAAATTGCCACAAATTACCCGGACGTAGTAAGATCAAGTATCCTATCGAGACACAGTTGGAGAGAAAAAAAATCATTCTTAGGTTATTCTGTCCCCCGCTCGCCTTGACTGAAAAAGCTAGGTACATATTTGCAGGTCAAAACGTAACTCAAACAAAAGTTGGATGCTTCAATGTATCCTATCGTAATTTCATCAGAAGGTCTAATTTATTTCATTGAAAGGTTTATAGACTATGCAAATTTATTTTACAGAAGAAACACGAAATATATCGTACAGTACGACTTGGTTACAGAAAAGGTTATCAGGCAGGCATATCCTCACAGTTCATTTAAGCCTCGAAAGTATTATTATAGCTGGGGAGGCTACACGGCAATGGATTTTTCAGTGGACGAAAGTGGTTTGTGGGTTCTGTATTCGTACTCTGGTTACAGTGGAAAGTTGTGTGCCACTCAGCTCGATCCTTTGACCCTGTCAACCCTGCAGACTTACTGTGGTATTTCCTCTGAGTCCATGAGCAGCATGGGAGATGCATTTGTCGCATGTGGTGTTGTTTACAGCATCGATAGTTACAGCTCAAAGACAACAACCATCAACTACGCCTATGACACAGCCACCGGCTCCAGAACCAATCCAGGCATCAAGTTTATCAACAGATTCACGTACAACGTCATGGTGACTTACAACCCTCGCGAGAAAGTCCTGTACGCCTGGGACAGGAATCGTCAAATAACATACCCATTGGAATTTGAAGAGTGAAACAAACTTTAACGTCTTGACGGCAAAGGATTAATGAAACGGACACGAATATGGACACGAAACGTCTTTTTTTAACAAAGAATTAGTTTATTGAACAGTAGTTTAGATTTATTCATATACCACAACCCCATACTCTGTGGTTTAATGTGGGGATATAGTGTATAAGTAGTGTTCTACAATGAACACTTTGGGTTTTAGTTAAACTATCGAGCACTCCATAGTATATATGCTTTGTTTTGCATTAAAATTTTGATAAAATGAGTTTTGTTGTTTCAATTTTTTAGCTACAGCAAGTACATATAAAGTACGGATTTCAGAATATTTATTTTTGCCAAGAAATTATGTCATCAATGTATTATTAATTCTGCTTGATTTCTACCATGACAGTTTGCATTTTGGTTCCATTTTATGCTTTTAAATTTCTGCCAAATAGGAAAGATTAAAAATTGGCAAGGCCAATTTGGAATCACAGATTTCTCTGATTATAATTAAAATTCGTAACTAAAATTACAATACGAGCACATGGTTTTACACTGTCAGTAACAGCAGGATGGTTTCAAGACCATGGCCTTTGCTAGTACACTTCGCACAAAGAGGTTTCCACGTTTTAGGTACCCAACTATTATAAACTTGGGATAGCTATCTTTCACAGTCAATATATACAAAATCCTTTGTAGTCTTTTGTCATCTGCTGTAGTGAAAATAACGAAAAATACATCTTGTATTATAAATCATCATAAAAACAATCAAAACTAATTTCTATAGCCGTATTTGCTCATAATTTGGTAAGTACTAGTACAGTAAAACTGTGAAAACTAATCGTCCAGTTTGTTTATTTATTGGTCAGGTGAGTGATTACAATAACACGCGCGATGCGGGACGGCGGGAAAAGATTTGAAATTTCAAAATGGCCGAAAAGTCAAAATCTGTATGAAAGAGAACAAAATATCTGTATTTTGAAGAAATAAACACGTGTTGGTCGACTTTAAAGTGTGAGAAAGATTTAATGTTATCTGGTAAGGCTTTTTAAACAAATTACTTGTTCTAAATGTTTGTTTGTTTAGAAAAATTAATGAATTTATTATGGTCATGAATATGAAATTTTCAAATTTATCGACTTCGTTATCCAAATGTATTTTAACTATCCACCCGCTAGCTAGTCTGTGCTCAATTTTAAGTCGTTTTGTGTAGAAATATTGTGAGGGTATCGAAGAATTGTTCTGTATAGAAGTGAAATATTAAATATATTAAAATAAGTAAAATATAGAAATTTCAAAAAGTGAAATCCAAGATGGTGGACTCGGGCCTCAGTTCCAGTCTATTGTTTTTGTCTGCGCGGTTAACACGAAGCTGGGAAGGAGTGCCGAAATTTCGTATTTTGACATCGATTTAAAAGAATTTTTCCCTGGTCAAGGAAATCTACTGAAATTTTGACACGAAAGTAATATGTTTATGAATTGAATACATATATTAGTATTCGCGAACAGTACTGCATGTTTTGTCATGATTTTTGTGAAAAAATAAAACCGATTCTTGTCATATTTCGTATATTTGATACATTGGGTTGACTACAAAATTTTTGCAGTTCGCTATAACTACAGCTACTTCAAAAATATGTAGTCCGCTACAACTACTGCTACTTTTGAACAAAGATAGTTCGTTACTGACTACAGCTAGGTTTTCACTTGTTTCCATCTACCAAACTGACATTACGTCATTTGATCAATTTCTAAAGTTGTTTTTTTTTTGGATTTTTTCATTAATTTGGTTAGGGTTAGAGTTAGGGTTGCGGTTAGGGTTAGGGGTTAGAGTAGGGGTAGGGTTTGGGCTAGTTACATAGCCATTTAACACCTCTTCAATCTTCTGAAAATGACGTCATGTCAGTTTGGTGGTTGGAAACAAGTGCTGACCCTACAGCTACTGCATAAAAAATGTAGCGAACTATTTCGCTAGCCACGCTATATTTTTTAGTTTTACTGTATTTGGAGCATCTACTAAGTACTATAAACTCAGGCTGTAATGTAACCTATAACAAATCGACTTACGAGTAGCAACAGTAAACACAAAGCAACATTTTTGTAAGCACTATATATATTCGGGAGTGCAAAATTGGCAAGGCCAGTTTCGGATCACAGATTTCTCCGATTATAATTAAAATTCGTACTAATATTACAATAAAAATAGATACGAGTACATGGTTTTACACTGTCAGTTCGGGATGTGCAAATTGACTATATATGTTCGGGATTGCAAATTGACTTTTGAGTATTGATTTTAAGCAAACCGTGTCTCAATATCATGCTATTCTATCAAGTACGGCTAACAATTTTAAAAAGTAGCGAATAGCGATTCGCTGTTTGAAAAGTAGTCAACTACTTGGCTATACTTTTAGGCAAAATGTAGTTCGCTATAACTACAGCTACTGTTTAAAAAAGTAGTCAAAAATGACTGGCTACTTCAGTGAAAATTGTAGTTCACTACAGTAGCGAACTACAACTACTTCGCTACTACCCATCCTTGTTAATTTTAAGTAGTTTTGTGTAGAAATATTGTGAGAGTATCGAAATATTGTTCTCTATACTATAGAAGCGAAATATTAAATATACAACCTTTACCCAACCTTCTAATCACTCAAACACATTCATTTACCCAACCTTTTAATCACTCAAAATTACATTGATATCGAAGGAACTAGACTCCGTTCCGAAATATCACATATTTGAACCGACCTGACCGCGTAGCTCAGTTGGCAGAGCATTGGGCTAGTATTCCAAAGGTCATAGGTTCGATTCCCACCGTGGTCAGGCATATTTTTCAAGCTTGCCCGGTGTGGATATACACTCAGAGTAACATCACAAGCATCTTATTCACCTGAGTACATTACACCACGACAGCAAATATCATACTAAAATAAATAAAATATAAAAATCTTAATAGTCTGTGACTGTGTCAACAGACCGTGTATGACGTCTGAATTTCCCGTGGGATTTTAATTATTCATTTTTTTTCTTAAATATTATTAATTTCATTGTATTGTTAGCCATCGTTATCACGTTGTCGTTCTAGATCTTAATGTCTCTGAGGTCTGTTTTATGCGTCGAATTTCGGTCGCGTCGAATGCAATTCAAACAATAGACGATGAAGCTTAAAGGGATACGGCAATATATTTTTTTATTATTTCATTTGGAAGAACTTTTAAAATTATATGTAAATCTCTTTTACCGATTTTGCGTAACTTTATTATTTCTTGAGATAATTGAACAGAAAAAATCACAAATCACAGCGAGCTTTCCGCCATCTTGGATTCTGGCGGATATGCATGTGACATCATAAGCAGGGTCACGCAAGGATTTTATCCATATAGAGCAATTGGTTATTATGAGCCCAAAATCATATACTTCAGTAACTATTTGAAATAAAAAACTGTCTGACGACTTTTCAAACAAGACTTAATGTTATTTGGTCATTTAGATGTAGTTTTATAAGGCTAACCCTGCTTATGACGTCACTATTTCTCTTTTATTAAGACTATAAGTTGGTTGCTTTCTTGATGTACGAACTGCCGAAATTCATGCCTGCAGTTTTAGCTGAGCATGATCTACTTTCGGTTGTTCGTACATGGAGAAAGTGTCAAATACTGTCATGTTTATAATGTCA